CTGCAGGGTTCTTTCTCTCACATGTTCTCACTCCTCTCTCTGGCTGATGTTTCTGTGCCTGCCGCAACTTTTTTCCTTCTTAAATCTGTTACCCCAGAGGTACTACCACTGTCACTGATGGGCTCAGCCTTGGCTGGTGGTGGGTCCGTCTTAGAGCTGTCTGGTATTGGCTCTGTCGGACACAGGGGAAGCTTCTGGCATCTTCTCACAGAAGCCAACCCTGTAACCACCCCCCCTCCACTACCAAAACCTTGCCACGCAGACCCAATATACTCTGACATGACAAGAGTCTTAAGAACAAGCAGTTCAAAGAGGGTCTTCTGTCAACCCTTTTCCAATTTCACTAACACGTTAAAAATATGTGTAATTGCTGATAAGGCTTGGAAAAGAGCACCATACTCCTCAAAATGAAAAAAGGAAAAAAAAATTTTTTTTTCCAAAGATTTCAACTTCTTTCTAACAGGAAACACAGTGAGGTCTTGCAGCAGTGAACACACAAACAAAACAAAACCACGTATTAGCCACGCACCTAAGCAGACCATTTACTAAAACTAAAGGAATAATATAAATATAAAGCCAAACTATTCTGCAAGAGTTATAGAAGACAGTGGCCCTTCAAATAAGCAGAAAACAGCAACGAGACCAAGCATTCAGCTAAGGATGGTAGGTTTCTGTGTGAGGGTCAGCTCGCATGGGCGACATGCCATTCCTTCCTAATTAGAATTGGTATTGAGTCAGCCTCTAAAACACTTGAGCTGAAATTATGGTAACTAAAGGACATTATTTGTTTGAATCACAGTTAGAATAAATGCACAGAACAATACAGTCTATCCTGACAGACCTTAATCTTTACCTTCCTTTAGTGCATTTCAATTAGGTTCACAGAGTATATATATGCTTTCTTACTCGGCAAGATCAAGATCTCATCACTTTGCATTCATGACTTTTAGTTTCACATAAAAAATTCAAAGGCTACAAACCTCTGAACTGAAGCTTTCATTAGCCATCAGACATATCGCGTACCAGTAAATACAAACCTGTTACCTAAAACTATCACAGTAGCTTGTAAGACTCTAAGAAGTATTCTAAACCACCAAATTCTGAATTTTCTACCAGGTTCTATAACACGCTGCTGTGGCAGGTTGACCCTGACCAGCAGCTAAACACCCACAGAGCCACCCAGTCACTTCCCCCTCCCGTGCAAGGGTGAGAAAACAGACAGAAGGGGAGAAGACTCATGGATTGAGACACAGTTTAATAGGTGAAGCAAAAGCTGTGCGCACAAGGAAAGCGGAGGAAGAATTCATTCACTGCTTCCCATCAGCCACCCATCAGGCAGGTGTTTGGCCACTTCCCAGAAAGCAGGGCCTCAGCACGTGTAAGGGTTACTCAGGAAGACAAATGCCACAGCCATAAACATCACCCCCTCTCTCCTCCTTTCCCCAAGCTTTTACTCCTGAACATGTCGCAGATGGCACAGAGTATGTCTTGGGGTAGTCGGGGTCAGCTGTCCTGGCTGTGTCTCCTGGCTGGGAAGGGGGGCAGAGGAGGGAAAAAAAGAGACAGCCTTGATGCTGTGCAGGCACTGCTCTGCAGTAGCCGAAACACTGGTGTGCTACCGACACTGTTTCAGTTATAAACCCAGAACACAGCAGCATACACACTACTATGGAAAAAATGAATTCCATCGCAGCCAGTACATCTACTATAATAGCTATTGATAAAAACAGACATTAAGTTTGCAGAGCATCAACTGTTCTGTCTCCCATACATTGGAAAAATGACTGTAAAGTAGCTGTAATTCTCAAAATAATTTGAATTTGCCATCTTAAAAAAGTGCTTTAAATAAAAATCAACCGTAGTGCTATGGATATGGAACCTTTGGAGGGACAAACATGACCAGCAGAGAAATTAATTTTTCTGGTAAGAATTACATGAATAATCTTTTTGCTCATTTTAGGAATTCAACCCAGTGATGTGATCAAAAACAAATCCCAAGACTCTGTAAAAATATATTCCAATTTAAAAATGTAAGTTTTAAAATAGGTTTTCAGTCCCAGAGCCAAAATTAATGAAGACTTATAGGAAATACAATACAGTTACTTAAGGCAAGATTACTGGAATTCATCATTCCAGGAACTACATCATAAAACAGTGTTATAATTTAGATGTTTAAGAATCAGTTTTCCACAGAAAGAGAGATTTATCAGCATGCATGTAAAAAAAAGCTGCAATAGAATGTTTCTTTAAAAGCACAGTAAAGTCTTGGGTTTGTTTTTGGTTTTTTTTTTTTATCTGTAAGGATTCTGATGCATCAAGCTAGCAACCATTCTCTTTCACCAGAGATGCACAAGCATTTTGAAACCAAAAACTTCACTGCTGCAGCCTACCAGAGTTTAGCTACTTCTTCAAATAGGCCCAAAGAGGGAGTCAGAGCTCTACTGCTGGGAGGCTGCCAATTAACAAACATTGCACACACCCACGATTAAAAAACAGAAAGTCAATACATTTTATTGAAAGTAGACATTACGGTAGGGTATACGTTCCCTTCTGCACATTTAGTCATTCAATATCCAACTTGCTGCCGTTGGTATCATATACATTTTGCATCATCTATTGTCCATTAGATGAAGTAAAAATGGAATAATGTTGAAATATTAGGGGTCAAGCAAGCAGACAGAGTAGTGTTATTACCAAAAGCATACAAGCGTAAGAAGAACAGAGTTTTCACAACGTGATACAAAAATACAGGATTGGAGGGAAGTTTGTTCTTCTAGTGTGTCCTGGTTTCAGCTGGGATAGAGTTAATTGTCTTCCCAGCAGCTGGTATAGTGCTATGTTTTGAGTTTGGTATGAGAAGAATGTTGGTAACACTGATGTTTTCAGCTGTTGCTAAGCAGTGTTCAGTCTAAAGTCAAGTATTTTTCAGCTTCTGATGCCCAGCCAGCAAGAAGGCTGGAGTGGCATAAGAAGCTGGGAGGGAGCACAGCCAGGTCAGCTGACCCAAACTGGCCGTATCTAATATATAAACTGGGGGGAGTGGGGAAATCGCCACTCAGGAACTAACTGGGCATTGGTCCGTGGATGGTGGTGAGCAATTGCATTGTGCATCACTTGTATGCTCCAATCCTTTTATTATTACTATTGTCATTTTATTAGTGTTATCATTATCATTATTAGTTTCTTCTTTTCTGTTCTATTAAACTGTTCTTATCTCAACCCATGAGTTTTACTCTTTTTTTTCCTCTCCAATTTTCTTTCCCCATCCCACTGGGTGCAGGGGGAAGTGAGTGAGTGGCTGCATGGTGCTTAGTTGCTGGCTGGGGTTAAACCATGACATGGTGAAAAGGTGATTTATTACTTAAAAGCACAGAATGCACTGCCAAAAGCGCCCTCCCCAAAACTACTCTGCTGTAGTTTTATGACAGGATGATAGCTAGAAAAAGAAGGAGCACTTCTCAGCTGTGCCCTGGACTGTTAGCCTACACATCTGCCTGCTGAGATTTATACTGCCCTCCCTAGAAGGCTCTTGACAATGGGACTATTCCAGAGATTGGCGAGGTAGAACCTCCCCCCCGCAAGAATTACTGCATACTATCGAAGACAAACAAACAAAAAATGCCTATTCTAATCTCTCTTCTTGTAAGCTTCACTGTTCTTTCAGAACACACTCCTGAAGACTGGGGTAAAGATCAGAAAGTGAGCAGCTTGTAAAAACAAAGCAGGTACACCCTGGAAAATTTTTTTAATGCTATGGGACAGGAACCTTCTCATGATTAAAAACATTGCGGGAATAACTATGTGATCCAAACCCCTAATATTCTATAATCTGTCCTGGAATACAACACAAGAAAAAAACAAATCTATTAGAACTAAAGCCTGGGCTGGATATGATGGTTTGTAAGTCTCCAGAATAAGAAAAGGTATCTTTTTATCTGTAAAGATCAAGCATCAGCAATCTTGACTTCCATATGCCTACTTCATAAAAATGCTTTTATTTCATAAAACTGCTTTTAGGGAAGAGACCCTAATTTGTAGTATATAATTAGACTAGATATTGTAAGGAAACACACAATTTTCTTTCTACAACCATCCAACATACAAAGTACATGTTCATGATTTTACAGACAGACACCTGGAATCGCCTTTTCTCTAGAAACTAGCCTGGAGCTACTCCCACACCAGCACTTAACATGCCAGCACCTTCTGTCATAAAGCAGCAGTGCCTTGCCCACATCCCCCTCCCTTCCACCCCCTCTACTGCTATTAGCCATTCACCTGTGCTGCCACAGAAAAAATTACTAATACCAACCACCCCACAGAAATAGCACCTCCCTGACTTCTGTCAAGTCACCAGGAAAGGGACACTTCCTGTGTGCTCCTTCTGCAGCCTGGATTTGCTATGCACCTTCCAAGATGAGGACAGCCAGCATGCTGTGACAGCATTACTGCTTCTAAAAACCTTAGCTAAATTTAACCTTCACAGATCTAAGGAACAGATTTTTCATTTTAAAGCAGGAAGTGTTTATCATTTTTGCTTCTTAACCTTACACCTCCCATTTTCCAAAAGCTGTTCCAAATAACCACACTTGTGCTCAGAGCTCCTAGTGTAGCTACAATTAGCAGAAGTCAATATGATCACTATTAGACTTCTAATACTTATGTGCATTTCTTTTAGAACCAGGTGAAACATTCCTCTGAGATGCTTTAAGGTGCAACTTCATTATACTATTTTATGCTGTCTTACCTTCAAATTAATAAACTCATTGCTTCACCTTGTACACATAAAATAGCTAAACTAATTGTTTCTTCTAGCTTTATTACTTTAGAGGGATGTATTTCTAGGATTTGCTTGACACGCTATCTGAAATAAATCAGGACAGCACTTCAGGAAGGTCAACCTTGTGTCTTATAAAAACTAAGAGCCATCCACTATTCCCCAGGTGAAAAACAAAAGTAAAGATGTTAATATCAATAAAAAAAACTAAAAACTCACTCACTGTCTTCTGTGGGAAGGACCTGCAGGGAATAAATCCATTCTATTATATCATCTTTGTTCACCACATCTAAGGAATCCAACATATCCAGACCAGAGAGCGCGAAAAATGCAATTGTCAACCTAAAAGAAAAAGATAAGACTTACACTTCCCACCATAAATATCATGGGGAAATTAACAAATGGTTGCAGAAACAGAAATATCTACAGATTCTCAGCCTTTGACAGTGGTGCAACACATAGAGCCTAGCTCAGAAAGCGTGAAATTTATCTATGGGACCAAATTTTGTTCTTTGTACTGTAAACATTACTCTGTTTCAACAAGGCTTTTCATATAAGCCACCCCTTCTTTATATAGTAATGATATGCCAATTCAGACATTAACCTACAGGCCTGCTTACCTGAAAAAAACACTACAAAGTAAACTAGGTTATTAACATACAGAGCACTAGTTCTCCGTGATGAATTCTTACATGAACAATCCCCTAATTATGCAGTAAGTGCAAGATAACCCTGAACTACCATAAGCTGTCTCTCATTGTGTCCAAAATCCTATTTCAGATGCTTAGAAGTTAAGTGTCAAACAGTAAGGCTCCCTTTGCAACCAACTGATGTATAAATAGGCACACAGGATGAATTACCATCTAGAGGTACTTATTCCTCATCCTTTGGTATAAAGGAGCCTAGGTGACTAACTTATTTAAACATCTAAAATTAAGCACATCAAATACAAGTATCCCATACGGGAGTGGAACAGCTAGCATGTTGAATGTCTTTCTTGCCCACAGCTCATTTCCTTCCATAAATGTATGTTACCATACCGTCTTTGAAGTTTTTGTTTTCACCTTAAAGCACTGTAGCCACCTAGCTTACAGCATGACTCCTCAAACAGTTGCATTACTTGCTCTGACAGAGCACCAAAGCAACAGCACTGGGTTAGGAACTGGAGAGCTTGCTATGAGAGAAAACGTTCATGTAATTGTAAATTCTGACTGAGATTAAAATTAGCTGGATGTATATTTTGCCACCCACACTTGCATCTGCCTATCCTTCTAGAAATTCTTGCTCTCCTTTCACCAGATAAGATGATGGATTGTGAAACAGCTGCTACACAGGCAGAAACTACAGTTTAGTATGCCAAGGAAAACCAAAGGTTAATGCCAGCTTTCCTTAGAAGGCTAAGTTATAATTTGCAGCTACCTCACAAGCTGGTGAGCTACCTTGGCCATCAGTAGTGGGCACCTCTGAAGTTGAGGAGACAGATGTGGACAGAAGCCTCTACAGACACTTAATTTCTGCATGTGGTTCTGCATCAGAGCCACAGTCAGACCAAAGAAAAAATGGTGATGTGAGTCAGCCCAAAACACACCTCCAGAAAAATTCTTCTAATTAAAACACAGAAGCCAAATGATGATGCAGTAGACACTGATCTCAATACAGTGGCACAACCTCAAAGGGTGACATTCCTACCTAGTGGGCTGACTGGTTGCTATAGTCATCATATGGCCATTCACAAGCAGAATTTAAGTCAACAACTTCTGCTTCAAAACTGTTATAATCTAGGATTACATAGCACAAGCAGGGTCCACAACTCAGCTGAATAATGTGACTTGTTAAGCTGAGGTTACTTGATTTTATACCATCTTTTATTTTAACCCTCAGCTTTTGCATTGCTTTTCATACCACTCTTACAAACAAAAGGTTTTAATCTATAAACTGCTTGGATATTGAACACTAACAGTCCCTCTTCAAAAAACCCCTCCATGCAACTCTACGGTCCTTGCAAAAAAACCCAACCAAACAAAAAAAACCCCCTCAAACACAGAATAGCATACAGCTCCATTACTGCAAGTATTCATGACAGAAAGAAAGTGTATACTTACTCTGTTGTTATTGCATTCTAAAATATGTCTCTTCACTATTATTATAAATAAAGATTCTGAGTATAGAAAGCCAAAAAATGTGTGTTGCACACAAAGATATTTCTATGTGGAACAAAAGTATTTTAAGCCCCCTGATAACTAAGAAGTTGTCATTCAAAGTACAAAATTAACACTTCAAGGCTTGTATCAACTTTTGCCATTGATCAGATCTGTGTAACCCAAGATCTGACTCTGGATAACAACCCACTATTTGAAGCAAAACCACTACTTTTATAAAAAAACAAGGAATTTATTGTTCTGCTACAGTAAATTATTTGTTTGAAACCTTGCGTGTATTTTCTGATTTTCACAAACACTAAGTTTGACAATCTTTTACTGAAACTACTTAAAGACATTTTTAGACTATGTTACCCAGCTAAGCTACTTCCAATGAGGCACAAACAACACACCAACTTCAGCACTAGAAACTGCTGCAAACTAGGTCCAAAACTGCAAGGCTGTACATACAAGACAGACAATAAATCTCATCTGTACTTAAAAACATGTATATCAGATAAATGAATGTAAAAAGTGGTTTTACATATAGTTAGGCTTCAGTTTACTTATTTAGAGGTGATTCTCTGAGTTAATAGTACCAGCATGACTAAGGAACAGCCCGTACAGTGTGTTGGAATGCACATGTGACAGGCCAGAACATCTGGCACCACCGGACACAGACAAGTCCTGACACAGCCGCCTAGATACTGCATCCTTACTTCCACCTCACAGAAACTTAACAGACACATGTTCTAACACTCACAATGATAATTTTTAGCAGCACCTTGGCTGACACATACCATGAAGTATAAAAACTGTATACACAGCAACTTCCACAGAAGGCTGCCCTTTGTCAGACAACCCCCAAGTCTGGCATCACTTTTGCCCTCTCTTTTCTTCATGCCTTCTACCACTTTATTTATGGCATATGTATTAATTTAGGAAGTCAAGCATCAAAGCTTGACAGCTGAAATTTGTTAACTGACCTACCGAAAACTTACAAAACAGGCATCATTCGTCCTGAAGTTCCCCTCAAAGACAAGCAAGTAAAGACACTTCTGATAAATTCAGAGCTCTTCATCTTCAGGCATGGACAAAGAATACAGTTTCTCAGCATAATTCAGAAAGCATTTGAAGTGACTGATTTGAGAAACTGAATAAGCATGCTACAAAAAGCACCATGCAGTACCACAATGTGAAAGACTTCAGAGACTAGGGGAGTTGGATTCTGCAAAGCCTCACAGTACTGACAATCAGTGCGTATGGAACACTATCAATCAGATTACTTAAAAACTACTGTTGCTGATGCTCCATGCAATATCTACAGACAAAAATAATTATGAAGGCTCTGAGGCAATAAGTTGAGTAAAGAACGAGAAAGCGATTTTCTTTATTGTACCTACTCCCTTATTGTTTGACAAACTACAGGTTAAGTTAGAATGGACTGGCACTGTGTGGCAAATTTCATCCTCTACCACCCTGCCTGGTGACTAGAAGTGCAGTTGTTTCTTGCTGCAGTGCAGTGAACCAAAACCAACTCACTGACAAATGAAAGATTTTTTTTTTTTAACAAGTCTCACTTTAATTTAGTTGAGTTTCCGCATCTAATTCACCACAGAACCACATAAATGCAGGAACAAGGGATGCAAGAATAATAAAAGGGTAACAGCATTTCTTTCTGCAGCAGTACCAACGCAGGAAGCTTGCTGAACTCTGTAACCTTTAAGTTGTCAAAAGGGCAAACTTAGTACCCTGAAGGTCAAACTGTAGATGATGCATTTATGGTTCGATCCCCTGCTCAGAATATGTTAACAGACACGTACACACATCTGCAGAACACTGATCTAAAAATCAGTATAAGTGAACTGAAAAACCTCCGGCTGAGTAAAAACTTCACGACTTCAAAAAAATACATGAATTTAGATGCCTTCGACTTTTTATTCTAATTGAAGGCTTAGACTGTGCTGATTAGCCAGAAATTAAGGCATCCTGAAATAGTTTCAAATTGACAGTTCTGATTTTCAGAAAACAGTATTCTTCCAGTGCTGCACAGCCATTAGGTACAATACACTGGGCCCTGGTTATTTAGTGTATTGTGGCTACTATGACCACACATTAAATTTAAGCTCAGGCAGCTCATTAGCTTCTCAAGAGTTCTCAAAACAATTAGTGTTATTATTAGCATTATTCAGTAAGATTAGGGAAGAGCCCATGTAAACTAGAGCCTCCGTTTCAGCTCAGGGACAAACTGCAAGAGCTTAGCAATGTAAGTCATAGAACAGAAATGTCTAGGTTGTCACGGGCCTCTGGAGATCACTGGTCCCACCTTCTGCAAAACACAGGGCCTTAGATGAGATGACCCAGGACCCTGACAAGCCACGTCTTCAAGGGAGACTTCACCACTTCACTGGGCAACCTATTTGTGGTTAACTGCTCTAAAGGTGAAGGGCATTTTTCCTACATCCACACAATTTTCCCCAAAGCAACTCATTCTCATAGCCTCCTGCCCCATCACTGTGGTCCCTTGTGAAGGGTGCACCTCCATCTTTCTCTGTAACTAGCTTCCTGGCAATGGAAGACTGTGATCAGATCCTTTCTCCTCTAGGCTGAACAAACCCCTTTTCTTCAGCCTTCCTCCACATGTAAGTGCAGCTAAGGTTAGCCCTTTGCATTATGATTCTAATACATTTGCATGTTACTGTAACTTTAACGCCTAGAAAAAGTTAAAGAGTATCACATGCCTAGACTTCCTCTTGCTGTCATTTAAAATAACTGACAAAGTGTGCTGAAACATCTGCTAATTCTTAATGGATAAATGATTTACAACTCTGAACCCAAAATTTCTAACCTTCCTTTTGAATATGAAGTTACCTGTTACTCCACACACAGTTTGGGGCTATCCATACCAGTCCCTGCCTGTTTTTGCCAAGTGTTCCTACTCTCAACTGAAATAAAGCTTGATTTAGGAGAAAGAACTGATCAAAGCCATTAAGCATTCTTCACAGCATGACTTGCAGGAGATTACAAAGTGAAAAGCATCTGATGATTTTATTGGTTGAATAAGATGCTGAACCCTCTACACATCTCCAAGTTTTTATCAAGTGCAGCTTGACAATCAAATTATTGATCCTCTTGTGCTGCAGATGTAACAACTACCTTACGTGTAAGAATCGGAAATAAATGCATTCCGTAGACATTACAGGCACGAGCGTCCCTCTAATTCAAAGTGAGGAACATAGTTCACTAGTATTTTAACTCCTACGCTAGCTAACGAAGATTTTAATTACTTCTGTTACATAAACAAGAGTCTTCTGCATGCTGACTTCGAGCTACGAAAGGATTAAGTCATTTACTTTAGAAGCAGCTTCTGGGGTGGATTAAAAGAGCAAAGCACAAGAACGAAAACAGATTAAAAGGATCAGCAAGTCTTCCCTCGTGGATATTGGCGGCTGCGGCAGACACAGCTTAAGCAAGCACAAACCAAACCCCTACGCCGACTCCTGTTTCTCGGGTCCCGTCTGCCGGTGGGCAGATTTTCAGGGAGCGCCTTCCTTTCGGCCGCCGCCGCGCCCCGCCGTGCCGGCGGCCAGCACGGCGCGCTGCTGCACCACCCTGCCCGCCGCCGCGGGAGGCGAGGCGAGGCCGGGCGGGCAGCTCTCCAGGAGGGATCTCCCGTCCACGGGGCTGCCCACCGGGGAGGGAAGAGCCGCCGCCTCCCCGAGACGGCGGGGGCGTGGGGGGGGGGGGGGGCCCCGGGCGAAGGGCAAGGGGGTCCGTCCCGCCTTCCCACGGGGCGGCCGGAGGGCGACGGCGGCGCGCCGAGACGCCGGCCCCAGGGCGGCGGGGCC